GGGGCTGATGAAAGATTATGTGGATAGGTCTCTTGTGACACATTAATGAATAATTGTTATCAGGACTGATTGTGAGTGTTGAAAGTTTGAAGGTAGACGTTTTGTAGCAAGAGGAAGGGAGTGATTGACTTCGCAGTCTAGGAGCAGAGGTCCCTGGGACCATCAAGGGAGACGAGCTGAGAGTGGAGCCCTACCTAGAGAAGCAGTGATGCCACAGAAGTAGGCAGAGACGATGGCGTGGAGAGATGAAGCAGCTGGGGACTTTAGGCCCAGAGAGGGAGAGGGGCTGTGTGCTGACAACCAGGGGGCAGGCTTGTATGGTATACCCTTCGGTTGGTTGATGATGTGTGGAGGGGATTGTAACTATGGCAATGAAACGATATACGATAGGATGAATGTAAAGCTAATGTTATCCCATGTAAACTATCACATAATTCACAATAAAACATAAAAACAATAAACAAAAAACTGGTTTCTTGGTTGCTGCATCTGATTTAAAAAAAAATTCAATTCAGAAGTTTAGAGCAACTTTGATATTATTTAACTAAAGAAGGATATCATGCTTGGTAAGATGGAGGGTCAGAGAAAAAGAGGAAGACCGCCAACAAGATGGATTGGCCAGGTGCCAGCATCAATGGACTCAAGTGTGGCAACAGTAGTAAGGTTGGCCCAGGATCGGACATTGTTTCATTCTGCTGTGCATAGAGTCGCTATGAGTTGATGCCAACAACAGACTGATCAAAGTCGATAGTTGGCTATTTTGTTTTAGGATGGGCAGTTAAAAATATATAAAGTAACAAACTAATTATCACCCATTTTAGGGAGGAAAAATAATCACAGAGCAGTTCAAACTTGTATAGTCCATTTGAATTTTTCATCTAGGTTTAAAATGAAAACTTCAATTTTTTGCATAACCCCGTTTTTCCTTGAGTATCAAACTAGATGGTAAATTACATTTCCAATTGCAACAGTCTTGTTGAATGAAACATTAGCAAAAATCAAGAAGACAGACTGAATTTCCAACTGGAAAAAAAATTGTACTCAAGTATTATAATCAGTTTTCAAGTCATTTTCTAACACGACTACAGATTTGGCTTCAATCATTTGTGCACACACACCCACAAGAGGCAGTCCAGCCAATGATCTGCTTTGCAACACAAGGCCTTATAGGCAAAGATAGCATTTTCCAAGTCAACTTTACATAGATTAAGAAAAGTAATTTCTAATTTTACAGAAATGCTTCTTAAGTAAAATCTTTTCTCTAACTCCCTCATCTCCAGTACTGAAAGATATGTAATATGTTTTTTCCCCAGCTAAATCTGAATCCTCAAAATTGATTCCAGGCAGAAATAATCTGCAAATTAAAATCAGAAAGAAATATAGAAAAATTATATATGTGTGTGTGTGTTTGTGTGTATATACTGATTGTAATCATCCAGCATCTTAGATTACACTTTAGAGATGAATTTTGGGATTCTACTGCTCACACCACCAAAATCCGTAATAATTTACATACTTACTTTTTCCTGTTTTCTTTCTGGCTACTCCCTACCCCCACCAAACAGTTCAATATAGCCACGGCTCAAGTTTAATGGGAAAAGAGAGAAGATTTTGAATAGTTTTTTTTTTTTTTTTTACTTTGGTGATCTGGGTGGTGGCACATATTGCTCTTTGCCATTCCGTCGAGTTACTCCCTGAGGTATAGCCCTATGGCCAAATTGGCGTCTCTGTTCCCTGATTTTTCCAGCTGTTCCCTTGGGAATGGTACTGCCTCGAAAGCCAGAAATATCCTTGCTAGCTTTTGCTTCTGGTTTCTCATGTGGTTTCTCAATAGATTTTTCAGGGGCTCCATTCTCTTCATTTTTGGTAGGAGACACTACATTGGTGCGAAGTTCCCGTAGTGGCTGCACAAGAACTGGAGATGGCTCTTTAGGTGGTTTCTGGCACACTTCAGCATAACTTAACTTTCGAGGTTCCTTTGAAGTGATTTAAAAAAAAAAAATTAATATATACATTCTCTAAACAGTGAATACAAAAGGACCTTAAGCATAAAGGAAAATAGTAAGTTACTATCTTGGAAAGGGCAAAAGTCACTCTCCTATACATTGCGTTTCAATATAATCTTAGAAATTTGTCTAACAAAGACTGATGAAAAGAACCGTGAAGGAATCCACAAGAATACCTAAGTTTCTATAATTAATCAATCTTAGTTACTTCATCTGATAAGGAGGAAAATATAGGTGCTGTGATAATAGGACAAAGCATGTAAAGTCTTCAGCTCTGTTCCTAGCATAAAATAGGCAATCAATGAATAAGTAGCTGCTTTATTAGGAGCCCTGGTGTGGTGCATTAGGATAAGCACTCGACCTCAATGTTGGTGGCTCAAACTCACCAGCTGCTCTTCAGAAACCCTATACAGGGTTGCTATGAGTCAGAACCAAGTCCAGAGCACTTAACAACATTCTACTATTACTACTATCAATCAATATCAAATGATAACATAAAATATTCTTAACTGATAAAAAGAGCTGTGCTAAAATTCTACTAATTGTTATCAATGTGTAAAAACGTCATGTTGTTCAAATCCACCTTGAGGTTGAGTGCTTATTCTATGGCAACACATGCAGTTAAGTGTTTTTATATGTGTGGTCCCAACATACATATAAAAAACTCCCATTATCTAATTTCACCTCTCTAAGCCCCCTTGCACTCCTCCAGATATAAACTCTTCCTGTTACCTGTAGGGCTACAGCTACAGCTGTACTTATATTATTATTACTTGGTGAAATGGTATTTGTCCTTGATGGCTTTGTACTACTACTTGGAGAAGTAATTGGTAGAGTCATCTGATTGAGGCCATCCTTCTGAACAGCAGAATCCTCTATTATATCTTTTTCTTGCTGAGTTGTGCTAAGGAGAGAGAGAAAAAAAAAAGTTTAAAATTAGGCTTAGTTCAGTAATCTAATTGTTGAAGATTTTCTATACTGAATCTTATACCTTAATGCAGGAAGCTCAGTTGCAGATGGAGGACTTGTACTCATACTAAGCTGTTGGGCAGAGCTGCAGTCTGTCTGCTCATCCTCTGCAGGTACTGGGCAAGTAATTTTCAACTCGCCATTATCCTTAAAGTAAAAAGATATTTCAAAATTTTATTTAAGGGACTTCCAGCAAGATGGCAGACTAGGCAGATGCACTACACAAACCCTCTAAACAAAGATATGAGACCAAATAAAAGCGACACAGATGAAAATCTTGACACCCTGCATTTAAGACAGATTACAGAGGCAGATGGAGTGCTTGCTGGGAGGAGAGGTCCTACAGGGATGGTGAGAAAGGCTGGCCAGATGCAGACAATAGGAAAGGTGCGATTCTTTCTTTTTCCCCACATTCTGCTGGTGATCAGAGATGTGGCCAGCTCCCACCCTCATCCAGCCCCAGCACAGATTCTGCTCTTTGGGAGTTCAGAGCCACCTAGTTGGAAGCCACTCTAGTGTGAGTTAGGAGTGGCTGCACCAATTTGATGTGCCGCTTTGGTGCCTGGATTCAGAACCACCAGACCAGCATTTAACCAAGTCACTCTGCCTCCAGATTTGAGTGATCCTAACAGATACTGAAACCAGCTCCATCAAGACTGCCACAAACTACTTACGGATTGAGTTCCCTGAACACAGTTAACATTAAGGTCAATAGGAACTCCATCCAGGGTCACATCACATCCTTTCTATAGACATCTTGTGAGCTACCTGAATCACAAGAGCCCACCAGATATCTTTCCCTTCTGGGTCCAAGACTGTACTGTATGTTTTTTACAAATACAACAACCGCAAAATGTCCCGGAGACATCAATTTTAGCTAACACAAAGAATGGCTCAAACAAATGACCAAAATGTAGAAACAGAAAACATTTCTGAGGAAAAAAAGGTAATGGAACTAACTGAAAAAGAATTCAAAAGAACGGTATTTTGGTATTTTCAACGGAATGGCAGAAAGATGGAGGAAAGCAAGGAGAACACAAAAAAACTTTAGAAGATGTCAGGAAGACACTACAAGATCAAACAGACAACATAAAGAAAAAAATTTAAAAAACAAACCTTCCATTAGAAATTCAGAAGGTTAATGCTAAGATATCAGAAATGGACAATACACTGAAATGGAAAATGAGAAGATTCAAAGCAGCGGAAAGTCGATTTAGTGAAGTTGAAGATAAATCTCTCAGTACTAGTTAGTATGCCAGAAGAGCAATCCGAAATAGAATGAAAAAATCTGAAGAAACCTAGGAGTTATGTGTGACACCATGAAGAAGAACAACTTGGCATGACTGAATTCCAGAAAAGGGATAGACAATATAAAGCACAAATAAACTGTCAAAGAGTTCTTGGAAGAAAACTTCCCTAGTAGAATGAAAAATGAAAAGATAAGCATATAAGCTGAACAAACGCCAAATAGGGTGGATCCCTAAAGAAAATCATCAAGAGAGATCATAATCTGTCATTATGCCAGATCATTATGAGACCACTGCTGCTACCACTGTGCTAAGCCTTCTTGTTAGGGGTCTTCCTCTTTTTCCTGTGCTTCCAGTTTACCAAGCATCATATCCATCTACAGGAGCTGATTTGAAGTATGAGAGATGAAATATCATCATCCTAGTTAAGAAGCATTCTAGCTTCACTTCTTTTAACACAGATTTGTTTATTCTTCTGGCAGTTCATGGTACTTTTAATATTCTTTTTGAACGCCAAAATTCAAATGCATTAAATCTACTAACTAAGGTCTGTCTTATTGCTTTTACATTCATATGAGGTTACTGAAAATACCATGACTACAATTAGGCAAACCTTAACTCTCAAATGGACATCGTTGCTCTTGAACACTTTAAACAGGGTGTGCAGCAGGATTTGCCTATTCAGATATAGAATTACTGAAAGTAAAACAAACCTACAAGACTGAAAAATATCAACATATAATGAAATCAACTACAAAGCAAAAAGGGGGACTAGTGTAGATACTTCCAAATGGCAAGGAAACCAAGTAGATTTCACTACACTGAATGTAACAACCAATAGACATATAAAAAGCAGAATGGATAAGAAAACAGAATCCTTCAATGTGCTGCCTATAAGAGACATATCAAAAAGATGGAGACAGCCTAAATGCCCACCAACAGAAAAACGGTTAAACAAACTTTGGTACATACACACAACAGATGAATGAATGATGAATCTTTGAAACACCTCACAATATGGTTGAACCTGGAGGACATTATGCTGAGTGTAACTAGTTATTCACATAAGGACAAATATTGTATGAGACCAATGTTGTAAAAACTGAAACAATCTATGAGGGTTATATGGGAGGGAGAGGCAAAATTATCAAAGTTTAGAGGGTAGAAACATTGCTGGTAGGAATACAGAATTATTCAGCTACTTTTGAAAACAGTGTGGCAGTTCCTCAAAGTTAAAAAGAGATGCCCAGGATCTTGCTCCTAAATCTGAAAACATGCCAGCTGACAAGCCTACCAGACAAACTAAAGACTTGTTACATGCCACTGAGTTAGTTCTGAATCATACCAACCCTATGCACAGCAGATTCCCCCAAGTGGCCTATGGCCAAGATTCAAGCCAGGCGGGACTAGTCTCTGACCTCCTTGCTGACACCTGGTCACCCCTCCCCAACTGGCAAGCCATGTGGCTCTGAGCAGTTCTCATCATGTTGCTGCTGCTTCTGCTGGCACTCTTCAAATGCAGGCTCCTAGAAGTGACATCCCACACTGAGCTTGTTGTCCTACACCATCCTCACAACTGTTATATGAGAAAGTCCATTATGGCAGTCACTGTGTCAATACATCTTGTTGGGAAGTCTTCCTCTTTTAACTGACCCTGCACTTTACCCAGCATGATGGCCTTTCTCCAGGGATGGTTCTCCTGACAACATGCCCAAAATATGAGACAAAGTACTGTCATCCTTGCTTCTACGGAGCATTCTGGCAAGACAGATTTGTTATTTTAGCATTCCGTGGTATCTTCAATATTCTTTGTAAATGGTATCTTCAATATTCTTTGTTAACACTGTAATTCAAATGCATTGATTCTTCTCCCGTATTCCTTATTCAATGTCCAAAATTCATAATGCATGAGGAGAATGAAATCAGGTGCACCTTAGTCCTGTAAGTGACATCTTGGTTCTTTAACACTTTTAAAAGGTCTTTTGCAGCAAATTTGCTTAATGCAATATATACTGATTTTTAAAAACTGCTGCTTCCATGTGTGTTGATTATGGATACAAGGATATGAAGTCTTTGATAATTTCAATCTTTTCTCCATTTATCATGTGGTATTTTTTTAATCTAGTTTTGAGGATTTTTGTTTTCTTTACATTGAGGTACAATCCATACTGAAGGCTGTAGTCTTTGATCTTCAACAGTTAAGTAATTTTAAAGTCCTCTCATCTTCCAGTAGCAAGCGTGTGTCATGTGTATACTGGAGGTTAATGACTCTTCTTTCACTTCAAGTAACAATCCTATCCCCTCTGTATACAGGGTTGACTTAAAGACATTGCTACCTAAAATGGGGGGAGCTATAAACAAACGAAGTGACTGGCTTACAAATTTTCAAGAAGGAGTTCAGTTTCTGTGTGTGTGTGTGCAGAATCCCCACTGAACGTTTTCCTCTTGTCTAGATGGGTCTGGTGACAGGAGATGGGGACAAGATTCTTTTGATTCACTAGTGAGTAATTGTTATTATGACTAACTATGATTGTCACAATTGTAAAGACAGAAGTTTTGTAACATAAAGGGGGGAATAGTTAATCTTACATTTCAGCAACAAAGGACCCTAGGATCATCAAGAGAAGAGCATGAGCAGAACGTGGGATCCTAACCAGAGAAGCAGCGACAATAGAGATGGCAGAGGTGATGGTATGGAGATATAGAGCAGCTGAGGACTCTAGACTCACAGAAAGAGAAAGGCTGTGTGCTAGCAGGCAGGCTTGCAAAATGTGGCCTTTGGTTGCTTGTTTGAATGATTATATATTCGTGAGTTTTTGTATATATCAAAAAATAAATACAGAGGGAATAGAAGCAAATACTGTTAAATGATGATGCATAAAGGGGATTGTAATCATTGCAATGAAACAAAATATGATAGGATGAGTGCAAAACTGATGTTCTCCCATGTAAACTACCATTCAATTCACAATAAAAGATTTAAATGAAAAAAAAAAATTATCTTTAGCAAAATTTTACTTGCACATTCCGTTGGGTCACCTCTCTGGAATGGGCACAAATATGGATCTCCTCCAGTCACTTTGCCAGTTAGCGATCTTCCAAATTTCTTGGCATAGTTGAGCTGAGTGCCTCCAGTGCTGCATCAGTTTGTTGAAAGATTTCAATTTGTATTCCATCAAATCCCAATGCCTTGTTCTTTGCCAATGCCTTCAATGCATCTTGGACTTCTTCCTACATATGCTACCCTTTGACCATATGCTACCTCTTGAAATGATTGATAATCAGCCATTTCTTTTTTGTACAGTGACACGCTGTATTTCTTCCATCTTCTTTTGATGCTTTCTGTATCATTCAATATTTTGCTTACTGTTGAGTTGGTTCTGACCCATAGCAACTCTGCATAATATTTCCCAGGAGTGGCTGGTTAGCTTGAATCACTGACCTTGTGGTTCAAAATGACCTTGCTGTCCAGCGCATTAGCCTGCAGCGCCACACCAGGACTCTCTAACATAAACATGTGTCCTCCCACCTCACACAAACAAAAACCAAACACAAATAAAGAAAAATAAGAAACTAGGGAAAATGAACACCTAATAAAAATACTAGATCCAAAGAAAAAATAAGATTCTACATTAAAAAAGAAGTATTTTAAAAATAAAAACCTCTCAGAAACTAAATAATATGAGTTTAAAAGATACTATTTAGGAAAACTTCATAGAAAATATAAACAAATACAAAGATAAATAGTAGGGAGGCCAAAACAATGAAACCAGAGGTTCAAGCTGTTAGGTTGAATATCACATTAAGAGTTCAAGAAACAAGTCTTGTGATTTGCCTTACTTCAGGTATCTTCTAGATTTGGGATGAGTTCTGAGTGACTGAATTTTTAAAAGAACATGTTCATTAATTACAGAAGATGAAAGGGCACTACCTGCCCAACAGCAACAAGAAATAATTTATTGACCTCATACAGCTGTATCAGAAATCTTTTCATAATACTCAAAGTGTACTGAAAAAAGATATATATATAATATAATGGAAATAAACTTGAAACACATATTTTCAAAAAGCCTAAACATAGCTCCACAAGGTAAGAGAGCAAGGACAGTGGTGTAATAAAAGCTTGGCTGCTATTTGAAAAGTTGGTGGTTCAAACCCAAGAGTTGCTCTGTGGGGAGAAAGATATGGCTGTCTGCTTTCATAAAGATTACAGCCTTGGAAACCCTGTCCTACATGGTTGCTATGGGTAGGAACTGACGCTATGGCAGTGGGTTAAGGTAACAGATCAGAAATAATAACTATACTGAATGCTTCAATGCTTACCTTTTCTTTGTAAACACCTTTAACAACATCAGACATCCTACTCTCCAGAGGGAGTTCACCTTGTGTTCGTGAACTTCCAGGCAAAGGAGGAAAATTTGAAGCTAACAGATCAAACTTTGGTGTTGGAGCTTTTGCTTCAGTTGGTGAAGGATGGGGTCTCTAAAATACACAAATTGCAAAACAGGTCATATACCTATGAAATTCTCGAATTCTGTAACACAGAAGTTGAGAGAGATAAAAAGCAAACAAAAATAAAAAACAGAAACACACTAAAAATCACAGAATTATCCCAGTAAACCTTCTTAAATCTCTTCTCAGTTGAGTTCTTATTTGTGGTGGTGGTCATGTGCTGCGGAGTCAGTTCTGAATCATAGCGAATCTGCATAGGGATTCCAAGGCTGTAAATCTTTACGGGAGCAGAAAGCCTCATCTTTCTCCCATGGAACCGCTGGTAGTTTCAAACTGTTAACTGTGAGATTAGCAGGCTGACTCATTAACTACTACACTACCAGAGCTCCATGAGTTTTCATTACTCTTTATCAATCTTACTTATCTGTGGTCAGTACCCCCTTCTTGATTCCTTTGCAAACTTGCTATACTCCTTAAGTCTTCTAACCAATCATCACTATTCTTTACTATCTAAATTTGCTAAACACTTTCCTCACAACAAAACCTGTACCTTATCTCAAATTTCCATCATCTTTTCTCCTTCCAGTCTTAAGAGAACAGCATCATTCTTTCTCCCTTCCTGCTACCCTGTAAATCGACTGACAAGTCTCATTGCTAGCTCTTCCACTTCCTCCTCTGTACTCACTACTCCAATAAAATTGCTTTGGCAAGTCACCAGTGTTTCCAAAATGCAAAATGTGACCTCTCTCTCTAACAGATGTGGGGTGCTCATCACTTTTTATTTTGGGAACCCATTCCTCTCTTAGCTTCCATACCTTTTCTCTTGAATTTTCACAGGTATGACAACCATGTGCTCCCCTCTCTCTACACACTTAAGTCATAAAAATGTTAAGTGCCACTGTCGGTTCTGACCTATAGTGATTGTATATACGTTTCCAAGTAGCGGCTGGTGAGCTTGAACTGCTGACTTGATTTGCGGTTCAAATCGACTCTTCAGTCCCAGTGTATTAACCCACTGCCACTCTAGTATAAGACAATAAATCCAAATATCTCCAGCTCAGCTCTCCCTCCTATGATGTCCACCTTGTTCAAGACATGCTTGACTCGATTTCTCTTCACCCAAACTTTCAATCCTCAATTCTTAACATTTCTAATATATCCAAGTAACCCCAAATCTAGTCTGCCTCTCCTCAGTTGCTTAGAGCCACTTTGAGAGCTACTGTGGATTACTATAATGGCTTCACTTAAAAATCGTCATACTTTAAAAATTTTAAACTATGTAAATATATTATATATTCAACTAATTTGAGCAATATAGATCAAACCCCTAAGTAACTGTGCTTGAGAGTCGGTGTGTAGGTTAGTGATGGTGATAAATATTTTATGGTAAAGCTTAGACACCATCTTCACTGAATACTATAATCAATTCAAAACAAAACAGTACAAGGAAAAAGATTATAATGGAATTGTAATTATAATTAAATAAGAAAGAAAAACCTGAAAAGATGCAGTTAAAGGTAAAAATACTTACTGCAATCCTGTCGTCTTCCCGTCGTCTTCGACCTCTGAAAAGAGTTCTCCTTTTTAAAAACAGACAAGAAGTGGAAGGGAACAACTTAATAGTTTTTTTTTGGTCTCAAATATACATGTCCTATTAAAACTACCTTGGAATTTGCCATCTAAAAAAAATCCACCATAGAATTTTAAATATTCAACCTTTCTAATTTGAGGCTATTCTTCCACTAACAGACACATATTGTGCATGCTTCTGAAGAGATCCTGAGTTAATCTACCAAATACTTCAAACACTGCTAAGCAAACTGGACCAATTTTTCTAATTAGTGCTCCTGCCATCCTACTTGTTTTTATTTTGATATAAGAAGTCAGGAAATACATAATCCCATTCCCCATAGTTTAGAATTTGGAAGAAAGTAACCTATAATACAGATGGACTATCATATTTAAGCAGTTCTTTTGCCAATGAAAGGTAAACAATTTCAGAATAACTTCATAAAATCTATGATTAGAGCTATAATCTATCCATATTTCTTAATGAAACACTATTAACTCATGTTATATAAACATGTTTAGCATAACCAAGAGCCAATATTTAGTTAAAAAAAACCAAAATCCACCAGATCATGGTCATCAATTATTCAGGATGATCACATCATGATGAAATAATTTTCATAAACCACATTTTTCTTACCTGCCCCTACCATAGTCCCCATTCTGTTCCATTGACAAAGTGGCAGTCTCTTTTAGAAGGTAAGTTTGTTCCTGATGCCCTACTGGGTTATGTCGTTCATTTGGAAAGTTCCTTGAATTATTAGATCTATTCAATGGTCCATCCCCCAATGATACAGACCCCTCTGTTGAGTGTTCTGAACCAATGGATGACCTAAAATGAGGCTTCACACTAAAAAAAAAAAAAAAAAATACTCAACACTATAACTAGGGTTGTAGCAGATATCCTTGACTACTAGTTATCATCTTAACAAGTCTAAATCAGTCAGACTTTAAGCTAACTCATGCATCTATAATATGCATTCTCAACAGGGCAATATTGTCCCTAAAAAGGGGTAAAAATCAGTTCTAGGAAGCAATGTTGTATGTGAAAAAATCTTACTCATATTTAAAGCACTAGACATACATACATAAACACAAATAGTATTCCTATAGTATCGGGAAAAACAGGCTCTTTAGAGAGAGACAATGAAAAAATGTTGAGAAACACTGGAAGAAAACAAAAATTCTAGTCTCTTACTAAGTAGAATCCATAAGCAAATGGAAGTTATAGCAATACAATTAACAGCCTGGCATTACTTAGGATATGCAATCTGATAAAAAACAAAACAAAACTACTTCAATAGAAGCAGATTTCATCTTGGATGACAGGTGTAAACACCCAACTCTACACATTTATAAACAATCAAAGTTAAGGTAAGGTAATGGAGAGTCTGCAATTTAACAGTAAAAACACCTAAAAGTAAGCACAAATACTAAGAATCTTAACTATACAGAAGATTTAAAAAGTGAGAGATTTGTTTTGTCCCTTGCTCACAGTTTATACACTATCCCATTTTAATAGTCTATTTTCAGTTACAAATTTACAAATATTAATAGCATGCTGTCAATTATGTTTCTCTAAACAGGGCTTTACAAATAAAATTGTGGGTTATATTAGAATACACCTCACATATATATATAGTGTGGTACAGCATACAGGGGACAAAATGATGAACAGTTCCTAGATATTATCAAACATCTTAAGGCAATGAGTTGATGGGTCTGGTGGCTCAGGACCATAGTCTCAGGACAACTCATATAACATAGTCAACAAAGATAATGTTCTACATCCGACTGTGGTGAGTAGTGTCTGGGATCTTGAAAGCTCATGAGCAGCCATATAAGTCTCTTTATGACCAGAATAAAACAGAGTGATAAGAACTTAAGAGGATTGGAATCAATTAGTCCAAAGAATTAATGGAACATGGGAACATCAGTCTCCATGACTCTGAGATCAGAAGAATTACACAGTGCCTGGCTACCACTACCAACTTCTCTGAAAGGGATCACATTGAGGGTTTTGAATAGAGTGGGAAAAAATGTGGAACAAAACTAACAATTATAATATATAATAATAAAACCTTGGGTTTACTGGTCAGAAAGCGACTGGGGGAACCTAAGACTATGCCCTTAAATATTAGGTCTGGAAAGGAACTCACCCTCGTGACCCAATTTTCCACCAAGCGGTTAGGGTAGGTATACATGGGGGACAACAACACTAGTAAGGTATACTCACCATGAAATGGTCAATTATTCAAAATCAAGGAGGTAACATTTACTTAAGGACAACTGTTGTTGCATGGAGGCAATTGCAATCAGTGAGATGAAACAAAGTGTATGATTTGTTGAATGCAAAACTGATGATCTTGCCTGTAAAACTTTGCTCAATTCGCACAAAAAAGCTTAAAAAAAAAAAACCCAAAAACCCCTCGAAGATAACATCACTGAATACAAAGCAATTCTAAAAATATTATCCATATTTGAAAATAACATCACATGGTTAAGTATGTTGCTGACATATCTGTTCACTTAAAATTTTACATTTCAATACACCTAACGGATAAGCGTTTAGATTCAAATAGCCCTCAGATCTCATAATCTTACCCTTCATTGAGAGGACTTACAATTTCAGTCCAGGCAAACAGAAAAAACAAGAAGTGATAAAAGATAGAAGGAAAGGAGAAGTAAAGTGGCAGAAAGATAAGGTAGAGAAATCCCAGGACTTCTGAAAGTTAGTACTATTCTCTCTAAGTAGACTAGTGATCATCACTGGGCTGTCACAAGGTTAATATAAAATTTGCAAAAGGGTTCTCTAAAAGTTACTTTCTTTTTATCTGATAAAGTCCTTTAGCTTTATGTTACATTTTAATTTTACTAAGTACTTATGTATTAAGGAGCTCTGGTAGCGTAATGGTTACGAATCGGACTGTGAACCACAAGGTCAGCAGTTCAAAACTACCAGCTGTTCCGCGGGAGGAAGATGAGGCTTTCTGCTCCCATGAAGATTTACAGTCTTGGAAACCATGTACAGGGTCGCTATGAGTCAGAACCGACTCCACGGCACATAACAACAACATTTATGTATTATTTCTATAATTAAAAACTAATCTGTATTGGTCAAATACTTGGGAAAAGACTGAACCACAGGTAATTTTGAAGACATGGAAAAATTTTTACCAAACCTGTCATCTCTTGGAACTTACAGTCAAGGCCTTTCATTTCTGGATTTCTTAATGTAATCTTACCCCTTCCAGCAAGAAGGCAGAGCCAACAAAAATAAGTGACATAAAAGATAATCATAAGCCCATCTTTTTATCACCTGTTTACAGCAAAATTCACCTCTTCAATGAAATGTATATGTAGTCAACATGAGAAACCTGCATTTCTCCTTAAGAGAAATTATAAACTGTCAATTACAAGAATGGAATTATTTTTTAAGAAAAATCACAGCCAGATTATGATACAGAAGGAGATGTTCTAATCTCACGCCTGACAGTAAAAGTAGCCATTTTACCCTGGTGTGGTGCTATAGCATAAGCTTTGGACTGCTAACCAAAAGGTCTGGTTCAAACCCACCAGCTGCTTCTAGGAAACCCTATATAATCGCTATGAGTTGGAATCGATTTGATAGCACTTTAACAACATGTAAGCCTTCACTTTCATCTGTAAAGTGCATTAAAAACGACATCAGAACACAGGTATTTCAACCATACATACATTATGGTTCATCATGTACATGAAACTCATGTATTATCAAACTAAGTTGTTGCTGTTGTTAGGTGCCACGGAGTTGTTGTTGTTAGGTGCCATCGAGTCAGTACTAATTCAAAACTACCTTATGCACAACAGAACGAAACACTGCCCGATCCTGGGCCATAAGAGAGCCTTCTAAAATGGCACAAAAAATCTTTTGCCCATAAAGACTCCCTCATTCTAACAGTATGACATTTGATTTACTATAACAAAAGATTTCATTGGAAACTTCATATGGCATTATAAATGAATGTATGTAGTAAAATTTTTCCAAATACTTAAGAACTTGAGAAAATATGCTCAGTTTGTTAGTAATTGTTTGTTGTTTACTATAGTTGACAGGAAAGGAGCTCTGGTAGCGTAGTGGTTACGAATCGGGCTGCGAACCTTAAGGCCAGCAGTTCGAAACTACCAGCTGCTCTGCGGGAGAAAGATGAGGCGTTCTGCTCCCGTAAAGATTTACAGCCTCGGAAACCCTGTACAGGGTCTCTATGGGTCGGAACCGACTCGACGGCACTTAGCAACAACAACAATAGTTGACAGGAAACACTTCAAAAATTAATGCTTAAGAATCCTAAACTCAGTTAACATTTTTATCTTCAAAGAATCTCATTTCCCAAAATGTTACCCATTTAACACACTAAATGGCATTTAGACAGATTTAAAAAAAACTTATTGTGAATTGATTGAAGGTTTACAGAAAAAGATCACCTGTTTTACATCCAGCAAATCATACACTTTGTTTCATTTCAATGATTGCAGTATCCTCCACGTAATTAACAAGTTATCCTGCTTCCTCCCTGTGGTTCCTATTTGCCTTCTACCCACCTTCCCATCCCTTCACAACTTTGTCTTTAGGTAAATGTTATATCCTTTTGATTTTTAATAAGTGACTATTCCATGGTGAGTATACCATACATTACTAGTGTTTTTGTTACCCTTATTGCTTGGCTGAAAATTGGGCCACAAGGATGAGATCCTTTCCAGACCTGCATGGTGGATTTTCAACTTACCGATTTTTTTGGAATGGTCGACCCAAATTCATAGCAGCAACATTTGTTTTATAAGATCCAGGGGTATTAAAGCTATTCACAAAACTACCATTGGGAAATGGCGCCTGGAAGAAAATGTAATATTTGAACAGTATTAATGACAAAAGGATTTATCTGGTGTGAGGGTCATACAGAAGCCTCTCATGAGCTACCCTAGAATCAATTTCTCTTCCAAGTTAAAAGCAAGTTAAAATATTCATATTCACTTTCGCAATATTCACTTCAAGCACTAAAAAAACAATGGATCACTAGATCATTGTTTACTCAATGAGGAACATTCCTCTCTGAAAATGCTTAAGAAAAATAATAGCATTATAATGTATTCAGGATTTATCTAGTTTTTTTCTTTCAATTCATTCAGCAAATTTCAGAGGATAAAACTTTATTCAGAGGATACGAACTTTATTCGTATACATACATTTAGTATTGTTGTTGCCGTTACGTGCCACTAAGTTGACTCCACCTCATAGTGACCCTATATAGGTTTCTGAGAAGTGGCTAGTGAGCTTGAATCACTGAGTCTGTGGTTCAAACTGACTTTGAAGTCAAGCACAAATTATATCCATAGCATATTTAAAAGCGTGGCAACAGTAGTGAGGTTGGCCCATGATAGGGTAGTGTTTCGTTCTGCTGTGAATAGGGTCGTTATGAGTCGGTACCGATAGGATGGCACCTAACAACAACAACAGTATCAACACAAACCAAAGCCAAGAAAAAAAATCTAAAATTTCCTTTAAATTACAACTTAAATCAAAAATGTTCTTGTTCTAGAAGGATTTTACTTACCAGTGGTGTTTCAAAGTAAGGTGCAGGATTTGGAGACCAAGACTGAGGCACAAGACTATACACTGAGTATTGTTGGTGAGGATTATATACAGGCTGCATAAAGACTGGTGATGCATACTGTGCTTGAGTTTGAATGGACTGACTAAACATACTAGAATCCATTAATCGATAACCGTTCTTAGCAAAAAACGTATTGATGGCTTTTATCCTTGCCTAGAAGGAAGAGGAACAAATAACAACTCTTAGTATGCATTTTACAAATATATCTAATTTGCATCTTTTCCATACTTTACACAACCATTTCTGCATAGTGTAGAATAAGCAGAGCAAAATAAAAGGAAATAATTAGTAATGCTGATTAAATTTTTAAAAAGAAAAATTTTCCATGGTAAAAATCACAAAAAAAGAAAAACAAAATGTCAAAGCACAAAAATGGGATACCAAAAGCATGCAATAATATATATATAAGAGATGAAAGGTCCAACAATTCTATAGAATGGGCTATATCCTGTAATCACATGGATAAAAAAGAAATATTGGTAGCTAATACATACAAATAGATGCTAAATGCCACTCATTAATAAGAGAAGTACAATTAAATATGAGTAAACATTTCTCACTTATAAGATACGCTAATGTCCAAAACTTTGACACTATAGTCTATACAAGAGGGTATAGCAAAAAAAGCACTCTACTACACTGAAGATGGGCATGCAAAACACCACAACCCCATAAAAGCAAATCTAACTATACCTTTTAAAATCTTTACATGTACATACTGTTATTCTAATCAATTCCAATTTTAGAAATTTTCCCCAATATATGAGAGGTCTTAAAAAGCTCATGGAAAAATAAAATGGAAATTAAACAGAATTTTCTCACAAACTATTTAAACCCTTTGACATGGACAACATAGGTTACTATGTTGCTATTAGTATTATTATTCTGACACTTTTGTGTGTGATTACAGGATAGAGCAAATAGTTACTGAGATCTGGGATTTGCACATGAAACATAGATATGGGAATAAAAATGTAAAAACCATGCAGGTTGAATCTGAATTGAAATATCAGTAAAAACTCCTATCTTATTTAAAACAAAACACATTTCTTAGCTGTGTCCAATGAAAAAGCTTAGAAACAATGACCACTTAGTAAACAACAAAATATTTTCATTTCAATGTAGCCTGGGGAATCTGGACAAAACTGTCTACCTCCAGGCAAGACTATTTCTGAATAACGAAAGAACTCAGAAGTCAACTTCAAGAGCAAAACATTTCCTCAATCCTAACAATAAGCGTGCCAAGTATGTATAAATACATAACAAAACACACTTCAGTGATCATTTTGGAGGATGCAAGGGAACCAATGGAATCCTGGTGTGACACTGTAGGATAAGCACTGGACTGCTAACCACAAGGTTCATGGATCAACTCCATCAGTTGCTCCTCGTAAATCGTATACAGGGTCACTATAAGTCAGAAGCAACTTAAAAGCATTTAACATCAACAATATATGAAGTGTATATACATTGCTGTTGTTGTTAAGTGCCGTAGAGTCAGTTCTGACCCATAGCAACCCTGTACAGGGTTTCCGAGGCTGTAAATCTTTACAGGGACAGAAAGCCTCATCTTTCTCCCATGCAGCAGCTGGTAGTTTCGAACTGCTGACCTTGCGGTTCGCAGCCCAATTCGTAACCACTATGCTACCAGAGCTCCTCAGGTAATGTAATAGTTGATGACAGCAACCTTTTTCTTTATATAATTCCATTAACTCCCAAAACCTGTTAGGATCTTGAGATAGGAAACAGTGCCGAAGAATGTTCCAGCTGCCATGCCCATGGCACTAACCATCACAAAACCCATCTGTACTCAGTTGAAGCAGCTTGCTTGGGACTGACCGTAGGGACCCACAGCCAACTTGCATCTAGTTTGTGGCTGCCGTTTTCCAGGTCTAATAACAACATATGTGGGGGTATATATGTGTAACTCATTATACAACGCTTAATGAATTTATAGATTTAGATAATGATCAGTTATCCTCTAATGTGAGAAAAATAAACAGATGAAAAACTATGTTCTTATCCCACCCCTCCACTGCTCTCAAAGCAAACCCAAATGTCATCAAGCCTCTAAACCTAGCTACCAGTTTTTGTATGACATACAGGGGAAAGAAGAGCGTGTTTAACTATCAGGGGTCCTTGAAAAGTTCATGAAAAATATGTATTATGAAATAACTGTAGATGGATCTTAAAAAAATTTTGCACCAAAATAAATTTGTACAAAGTTGATAAGACTTGACAGCACAAAACAAGTTGGTAAGACATCAGTTTAAAACAAAACAAAACAAAAATCAACCCTTATTAGAGCAATACAAATCCTACTAAAATTGAACAAACATTGAATTTATGAAGGCTGGATGGAAAAACAGTGAAATGACTAATGGCTTATGATGAAGTTAATGGGGACAATACTCCAAAGAACCAACAGTTAGTAATGAATAATTTGTTTTAAGAAGGGAGATGATGCTGAAGATGAAGCCCACAGCAGCAGACAATGTACACTGATTTTCAAGAAAAAAGTTAATGTCATTCATGCTCTAAAAGGACCAGCGTTTAAGAACATAAGAACAGAAAAAGTAAGTCAAGACCACTGCCACCTCAGCTGGCCAGAAAATTAAAGCTGAGCAAGAGGGAATCAAGACACTGCAGTCTTTCTTGGAAGGCGAGATGGAACATAGCTTTCCCAGTGTGATCCTGAAGACAATGTACAATCAAAGCAATAGCTACCAAGAGGTGAAAATGGTACAAAGAAAAAGCAGACAGATCAAGAACAAAAAGTTAAGGGAGGAAAAAAAATCAGTCAAGAAAAATTGAACAGTGACTGGGTAGTATTTGAAATTACTTAAAAAAAAAAAAAATTTTGTTGTGAAAATAAACGTTAACAAAGCATACATCACAATTTCTACATACACAATTCAGTAACACTGAGTATCTTCGGTTTCTATATATTTGTTTATTTCATATACATGGGATCATATATGATTTATCCTTTTGAAACTGATTTATTTTACTCAGTATGCTGTTTTGAATGTTCATCTTAATTTTGACAGATTTCAGGAACCCATTATCTTTTACGGCTGTGGGTGATGCTGTAAGATAAACACTGGAACCAAATGTCTGTTAGAACTGCAACGTCAGCGGTCCAATCTCACCAGCTGCTCTTTGAAACCATATACAGTTCACTGAGAACCAACTGGACAGCACACTTCACAAAAAATTATTAGTGAGCTCAAATGGACTGGTTTTGGCCATTTTGAATCAGATAATCAATCACATAGTAAAAAAGAATATTTATATGCCTATAAGAAAGACCAGTCTACTACTATTATTCAAATTAATGTACCAATCATTAATGTCAAAGTGGAAGAAATGAAACTCCTGTAGTCTGAAATTGATCAAACATGCAATCAAGAGGCACTGATAATTACTGGTGATTACAATGTGAAAGTTGGAAACAAAGAAAAATCTGTGGTTGGAAATATGGCCTTGATGAAAGAAACCACACTAGAAATTACGTGACAGAATTTTACAGGACCAAATCTATTCATTGAAGATATATTTTTTCAACAATATAAATGATACCATCTAAATGAACATTGCCAGTTGAAATGCATAGAATTCAAATAGGTGGAGACAATGTAGAGAAGATCAACACTATCAGTCAGAAAAAGAACAGGTGTGAAACAGAACATCAGCTGATCACATGCTAGTTCAAGTTGAAGCTTAAGTAAATGAAAACAAGTCCACCAGAGTCAAAGAACAATTTTGCATATAACCCACCTGAAATCATCCCAAATATGGACTTGACTCAATGAACACTAATGACTGACCAGGCAAGTAGTGGGATGACATCAAGAACATCATACATGAGACTTCAGGAAAGATGGCAGACTAGGCAGATGCACTATATGGACCCTCTACAACAAAAATATGAAAGACAAAACAGACACCGATGAAAATTCTGGCACCTTGAACTTCAGAAGAAGAGTTAGAGAGGTGGATAGAATGTTTGCTGGGGAAAGAGGCAAGAGAGGGGGACTGGTGAACTGCTAGCAAGACTCAGATACACCATATTGTGAGCAGCTTTGGCCAGAAGGAGGTCTGGCAGAACAGATTCGCATGGATGATGGAAAAGGTGTGATCTCTTCTTTTTTGCCCCCTAAACTCCCCCAAACGGCCACCACTCGTCTGTCTGCCATGCTGTGGTGGTTTGAGTTGCTGTGATTCTGAGGGCTATGCCACCGGTGTTTTAAATAAGCATGGTGGACAGGTTTCAGATGAGCTACAAAACAAAGACAGACTAGGAAGAAAGAGTGACAAACTACTTCCGAATCGCTAGTCACTGAAAACTCTATGAATAGCAGAGAAACATTGTCAGATACAGGACTGGAAGGTGGGAAGGCACTCAAGAGTGCGACTGGGGAAAAAAAATGCCTCCTCAAAGTAGGGTTGACCATAATGACATAAATACAGTTAAGCTCGGGGGAGAAAAGCGCACAGAACCTGCATTTGATGATGGGCAACAACTTAAAATGAAGAGAAACACCTGTAAACATCCATTGATAATTGGAACATGGAATGTACGAAGTATGAATCTGGGAAAATTAGTGAGCTGAAATGGACTGGTACTGGCCATTTTGAATCTGATAACCACATGGTTTACTATGCAGGGAATGACAAATTGAAAAGGAATGGTGTTGCATTCATCGTCAAAAAGAACTTATCTAGATCAGTCATGAGGTACAATGCTGTAAGTGATAGGATAATATCCATGTGCCTACAGGGAAGCCCAGTTAATACCACTATTATTCAAATTTATGCACCAACCACTAAAGCCAGTGAAGAGGAAATAGAAGAATTCTACCAACTTCTTCAATCTGAAATAGATCAAACACGCAATCAAGATGTATTGCTCATTACTAGTGACTGGAATGCAAAAGTAGGGAGAAAAGAGGAAGGAACAGTAATTGGAAAATTTGGACTTGGTGATAGAAACGATGCTGGAGAACAAATGATAGATTTCCGCAAGACAAATGACCACAATTAATTCATACCTATTGGTAATTAAACTGAATGTAAATGGATGAAATGTTTCAGAAAGAGACATAATGAGCAGAATGGGTAAGAAAACATGATCCTTTAAAATGCTGTCTACAAGAAACAAATAAAAAAATGAAGACAGTCTAAATGTTCACCACAAAAGAATGGTTAAGCAATCTTTGGTATATACACACAGTGGAATACTACAAAGCATTGCAGAATAATGATGAATCTGAGAAACACCTCACAAATATTGTATAAGAACAATGTTGTAAAAAGTTAAGAAATGGTTTTTTTAATAAAAGAAACCATCAATCATGGCTACGGGGAGAGGGGAAATTATTCATAAGGTAGAAGAGGGTTCACACATGTGAACATGGGTAACAGGGCAAGCAATATTCAACGAGTAGTTTAGTAGGGTGGGAATGAAGGTAATCAGAAGAACAGTTAGTAGAAGTAAATGTTGTTAACTGTAGGTACAATTTAACAAATTAATTCAGGGGATTACAATCATATAATGAAGTCAAGTATATGATTTGTTGAATGTAAAACTGATGATCTGCTCTGTAAACCTTCACTCAATTCACAATAAAAAGCTTAAAAACACACACAAAACAGATCTAGAAGTTGGATCAGCAAGGATGATTTATAAATGGAACTTTTTTCATTATTAATTAGCTTTTAAAAAGTGCTCTTTTTCTGACTTCTTTTAAAATTATTATTTCCTGGACTACCGGCATGGTACTGTAGAATCAGCAATGGATTACAAACTACACGGTGGTCCTTGGAAACCCTATTCAGGGTCACTATGAGTTGGAACAGACTTGACAGCACTTAAAAACAACATTTAGTCATGTAATACCTTAAGGATATCTGATTGCCTCTGAATTATTTGTTATAAATAAAAATATTCATGACAGGTGATAGACATTATCCTTTATCATTAAAATTTGCCCTTCACACCTTCTTCCTTTGCTTGCCATTGTCTATTCTGTCTCTGCCCTTCCTTTTATCTAGGTGCACCTTACTAGGTGCTTCTCTAATAAAGAGCATCATATAACTAGGTTTTATATTTTGGTTTAATCAAACAACAAAAAAAAGGTTCTTTTCCTATTAATAGATGTGTTTAATCCTATGTATATTTATTGACACTAGGTTTGATTCTTTTTTAAAACAAATTTTATTTCTAATATTTTTCTAAACAAAACACCCAAAACAACCCCTCCCCCAACAAAACAACACAACATCTATACGAGAGCAAAAGGTCACTGAAAAGATATGTAAGACAGAAAAGAGCAAAAGCAATGCCAGAAGAAACCCTAAATTCTCTTAGCTGTAATGTGAATGGAAGAATGAAGTAAAATCAGAATTATTTCAACAGCTAGAGAAGACACGGTAAACTACTGTTAAATTTGCTAAAAGAAAACACAAAGGGAATAACAAACTCAGCATTATCTCAAGCTGAAAGAAAAAACTGCCACATTGAAGGATTCTATGGGCAAAAGGAGAGCAAATAAGCACTGGACTGCAAACCACAAGGTCAGTGGTTCAAACCTATCAATCACTCCATGGGAAAAAGATGAGGCTTTCTGCTCCTTCAAAGAAAACTCTGAGTTGGAACCGAATCCATGGAACTTAACAACAAAAGGGCAAAATATTGAAAGATGCAAGAAGCATCAGTAGGCACTACTAGAAAAAGAATTTGATCAACAATCAGTAATTTGATCAAGAATCATACATAGTAAGAATTGTGTAGACATAATATTTTTATGCTCATTCAACTAACTTTCTGAGGTAGCACATCATATGAGCAAAAAATTCCTTTGAAATCTCTATGGGCTTCATAAAGTATTATTTTTCTATATTTTCTTCATATACACAAACACCCAAGAGAACAAAAACTTTGTTTCACACTGGCTTTCTTTTAGTTTTAAGTTTCGTACCATGATTGGCTTGCCCTGAAATGTTTTCACTTCTTCTCTTAAGTATCTAAAAGCCTGAAAGAAAGCAGAAAGGAACTTTTATTCGTAGTCAAACATTTCAATAACGCAATATTTAACCTAGCAAGGCTCTGAATATTAGTAATTGCCTTTAAACCAAACAAATAAAAAATTCTGAAGGTGATTCTATTATGGAGGTGATAGGGAGGCCAGCTTGAACTGCAAGGTCAGCAGTTCAAACTCACTAATTGCTCCTCAGAAATCCTATGTAGGGTCACTTATGAGTCAGAACCGACTGGACAGCACTTAACAACAACAGGGAGCAAAAAGTAAAAATGTTAAGACTTTCTCCGGTACAGTTCACATTTATTCTAGATTAGTTACCACAGATTAACACATGCATAATATACTCAGAGAGTCACACCAGACCCTCAAATGATTCCATTTTCATCTGTAATGAAGAGTGGAGGGAAAAAAGTCATGATATCAGCTAAGGTCATTTTTGTTTCTAATTATTTTTTAAATTAAATATAATTTCAAATTATAAATTATTTATCTTGTTCCAGTTTACAAAAACCATATTTCACTACAGAACAAAGTACTGCTAATTCCTGCTTCATCTCACAACCATTCTTATGTTTGAGACCATTGTTACAACCATTATGTCACTCTATCTTCCTGTGAGTGGGGTTTCCTCTACTAAGGAACATTCTGGCTATACTACTCCCAAGACAAGTTTGTTCGTCCGTCTGTCAGCCTATGATATATACGTTATTCTTTTCCAGCATTATAATTCAAACATATCAATTCTTCTCTGGTCTTTCTTAGTTACTGTCCAGCTTTTCCATGCAAATGACGTGTCATGGATTGAACTGAGTTCCCCCTAAAATCTGTGTCAGTTTGTTTGGACCATGATTCTCAGTGGCTTAACAGTTATGTGATGAAACAACTTTTAGCCTCCTAAACTGTGAAAGAATAAATTTTCTTGCTAAAGCCATTTACTTGTGGTATTTCTATTATAGTTGTTGTTAAGTGCCATCGAGTCGGTTCCGACCCATAGTGACCCTGTACAGGGTTTCCGAGGGTGTAAATCTTTACGGGAGTAGAAAGCCTCATCTTTCTCCCGTGGAGCGCCTGGTAGTTTCGAACCGCTGACCTTAAGGTTCGCAGCCCGATTCGTAACCACTACGCTATTATAGTAGCACTAGCTAAAACAAACACGAGGCTACTGACAATACCATGGCAATCAGGTACACCTTAGTCCTCAAAATGATATTTTTGCTCTTGAACATGTTAAAAGAGGTCTTTTGCAGCATTTTCTTTAATTTCTTGACTGTTGCCTTCCATAAGCAGTGACTGAATCCAAGTAAAATGAAACCCTTGATTTTTTTTCTCCATTTATGACGATATTGTTTACTGGCCTTGTTGTGAGGATTTTTGCTTTCTTTACAATGAATTGTAATCCATACTGAAAATTGAATTTTTAAATCTTCATCAGGAAGTACTTCAAATCCTCTTCCCTTTCAGCAAGCAAAGTTGTGTCATCTAACATGCTATACAGGTTGTTAATAACTTTTCCTCCAATCCTGATGCCTCATTCTTCTTCATATAGTCACCATCTTGGACTAATTGCTCAGCAAACAGAAAGGATACAACCCTGAGACACACCTTTCCTGACTCTTGATCTATGTACAGATTCTGCATGAGTTCTTGAATTTTCATTCTTCCCAATGTTATTCATACTGTGTCATGATCTACAGAGTTGAAATCCTTTGCATAGTCAATAAAACACAAGTAAACATCTTTCTGATATTCTCTCCTTTGAGTAATTTGCTGGACTGCAAAGTTGGTTTGAACCACAAGGTCGACAGTTCAAGCTTACCAGCCACTCCTCAGAACTCTACACAGGGTCACTATGGGTTGGAACAACCATGTCCTATGGAGTTCTGGTAGCGCGGTGGTTACGCGTCGATCTGCTAACCTAAAGGCCAGCAGTTTGAAACTACTAGTCATTCCGCAGGAGAACAGCTTACAACCACCACCACGTACTAGAAATACTACTGAGGGCACATAGTTTCCTACACCCCAGGCTTATTTTGAAACTGTGTGTTCATTGACAGGTAACATACTGTTCTTAAATTGAAATGAAAAACATCTTTGCAACATTATTGTAAGCATACTTTTGTTAATTAATGCATACTGTTAATTTTACCACCAGAACAGCATTAGGAGAAAAATGGTTTGTCTTTTTTTTCTCACCTGTTGTGCATCTGTGTCAGATTGGAAAGTGATATACCAGCTGCTATTATGTGCAAACTCACAGCTTATCACTTTGGGACAGTTTTCATTTATGAACAGAGCTTTCACTTCCTAAAAACAAAACAAAACAAACTTTAGTTGACTTTTAATTAAGATACCAATAACTGGCACCTTTTGCTTTTTAACTAGAATAATAGCATCTTTTCATGTCTTTCTATCCCTTCTAGTTCTTCCTTGTTTACTCTTTATGTTTTCTGCCAGTTTTCCTAGTGAGGGTAGCTTATAAAAATACACACAGTCATGGTGTAAGGTTTGTATTGATTCCTTTAGGTGAACCAATGGAATGCAGTACCATATTTTATGATGAGTAAAACGAAATGATTTTTCTCCTAGTGGCAAGGTAATAGTCCTTATTAAAAAATGTGTCCAAAAGAAATGGTATGCACTCTATTAATATTTTCTGGGTTCTAAATATATTCTCATTTAATGTGAATTCTTTGCCTGTATCAGTCACAGTCACGAACTCTGTGTACACCTGGTTTTTCCATAATTGATATAAAAATCTTAAAATAGTTCTAAAGGCTACTTTATAAAAAGAAAGTAGAAGCAAGCATTAAGTGTGCCTAAAAAGTTATAGAAAGAAAGGAAACAGCATACACTGAAATATCAAGGGCCAGACACTGATTTATGTGAAGGTTTTTCACATTTTACAGCTGAAAAACTGGTGGCTCAGACTGATTTACTCCGAAGTCTATTTCAAAGGGCAGCTAGGGAAGACAAAGTCAAATAATACCATGAAATGTTGAGAGACCTGGAGTTAGAAAATCAAAAGAGAAAAATACACTCAGCAGTTCTCAAACTGAATGAACTGAAGAGAAAATCCAAGCCTCCATTTGAAATAATAAATAATAAATGAGCAAAATACTGAATGATGCAGAAAACATTAAAAGAAGATGGAAGGAATACACAGTCACTATACCAAAAAGAAATGGATAACGTTCAAATATTTCAAGAGACAGCATATGATTGAGAGCCAATATTACTAAAGGAAGGAGTCCAAGGTGCACTGAAGGCAATGGCAAAGAAAAAGTCACTGGGAACTGCTGGAAGACAAATTGAAATCTTTCAACAAACTGATGCAGTACTGAAGGCACTTACTCATCTATGCCAAGAAATTTGGAGAAGAGATCCATATTTGTGCCCATTCTAAAAAAGGTGACCTAAAAATGTAGAAATCATTTGACAATATCATTAATATCATATGCTGAGCAAATAATCTGAGAAGCTGGATTATATGAAGAATAACATGGCATCAGGATTGAAGGAAGACTTATTAGCAACTTTGATAAGCAGGTGATACAACCTTGCTTTCTGAAAGCAAAGAGGACTTATAATACTGAAAAAGATGAAAGATCACAGCCTTCATTACTGATTGTACCTCAAAGTAAAGAAGCAAAAATTCTCACAACTGGACCAGTAAATAACATCATGCTAAAAGAAGTAAAGAATGAAGTTGTCAAAGACTTCATTCGGCTTGGATCTATCTTCAACACTCATGGAATCAGCAGTAAAGAAATCAAATTACAAAGAACAAACAAGATGGCAGATCAGGTGGAAGTGCAGTAAAGAACTCCGCCAACAACACAGAATACCCGACCAAGCAGGCTCAGGGGATGGTCCCAGAACTCTGAACCACATATAAAGGAATATTTA